GGTCAACATCACATGATAATGCAATTCACCACCGCAAATACACACAAAACACATAGCATATATTAAACTGTGTAGTATTTGTAATGATGTTAACATGATCAGTTTACTGTATAACTGTCAGGAGTGTTATATAAATAAAATCATCTATGACAAAATGTCCTCAAAGCGCCAGGAATTATCGCTCTGCTCTCGCGCGCCTCTGTCGGCAGCAAGCGGAGTTGCAGCATTGCGTGTTGCAAATTCTGACCCTCCGCGGCTTCCATCCCAGATGAGCGTCAGTCAGTCGGTGACGGGCTTCAGAACCGGAGCAGCACCGGATCATGAGCGCTATCACGGCCTCCTGACAGCTGCACGGCTCGGTTCCGGTGTCAGGGAGCGAGATGGACGGCGGCGAGAGGAAGGTAATGCGGTTTAATGACATACAATCGCTGGCGACAACCGCTGGCGTCGCGTTAGCTTTAGCATTAGCAGCGCTCTCGGGATTAAAGTCCGTAACGGCGGAATAACCGATTAATTCCTCGGTTAAACGCTCGCTCGTGTGTGAGGTGAGCGTTAGGTGTGTTTCAGGGGTGTGTGTAATGGGTTTATTAGCATTGACGCGATGTTGAGAGCATCAAAACAATGACGCTCCTGTTATGATCAATTACCGCGACTCATCGATTATTAACACGCTCGTCGGTTATAACGGGTCGCGCAGCGGGTATAAGCGCTTATTACAGTATTGTGCTATTACTCTTATGCTCTAAGTGGTGTTAATCTGTGATTAATATAGCGTTGAGTTGGGTATCAGCACACCTGAGGCTGCAGGATCCATCAGGAAACAGTATTGATCATCCACTGCTGACATATGACGAGAAACAATAACAGAAGGATAATCACTCATAAGAGATGCTCTGAGGTGCTGTTTGGAGTTTATTATTTTATGACCATCATCAGAGCTCAGCGGTGATTGAACACGAGCTCTGCTGTTAAGTCAAACGGCTGTGATTTGAGCTGTTTTGGACTGTTTACATTAACAGCGATGCTAAAACGTCAGTGAACTTGGCTGCTGGATGGTCTGGAGGTGTGTGTGTGTGTGTGAGAGAGAGTGTGTGTATGTGTTGTGTGTGTGTTTGTATTTTGTGTTTGTGTGGGTAAGAGAGAGTGCGTGTTCGTGTATATTTTGTATGTGTGCTTGTATGTATGTGAGTGAATGTGTGTGTTTGTGTGTGTGTTTGTATTTTGTGTTTGTGTATGTAAGAGAGTGTGTGTTTGTGTATGTTTTGTTTGTGTGCTTGTATGTATGTGAGCGTATGTGTGTAAGAGGTATGTAAATGTGTGTGTGTATTTGTATTTTGTGTTTGTGTATGTAAGAGAGTGCGTGGTTGTGTGCTTTGTTTGTGCCCTTGTATGTATGTGAGCCAATGCGTGTGTGAGAGTGTGTTTGTGTGTGTGTGTGTGTGTGTGTGTGTGTGTGTGTGTGTGTGTGTGTGTGTGTGTGTGTGTGTATGTATGTATGTTTGTTTGTTTGTTTGTATGTAAGCGAGCGAGCGAGTGTGTGTGTGGAAAATAGTGTGTGTTTGTATTTTGTGTTTGTGTATATAAGAGAGAGTGTGTTTTTGTGTATGTTTTGTTTGTATGCTTGTATGTATGTGAGCAATTGCGCGTGTGTGTGTGTGTGAGAGAGTGTGTTTGTTTGGGTAAGAGAAAGTGTGTGTTTGAGTGTTTTTTTGTGTGCTTGTTTGTATGTGAGCGAATGTGTGTGTGTGTGCGCGTGTGTGTGTGTGTGTATTTTGTGTTTTTGTGTGTATGAGAGAGTGTGTGTTTGTGTTTGTGCATTTTGTGTGTGTGTGTGTGAGTATGTAAATATGTATGTGTGTGTATGTATGAGCCGGTTTCTGATCAGACCTGATCCAGCAGGTTTTTCTGCATTGATCACATCGCTGGCGTGTGTGTGATGTTTCTGTCTGTCGTCAGATCAGTTTCTGAGTTTCTCCTGCTGTTTCCTGTGCGATTCTTCTCCTGTCACTGAACTACTTCTCCAAAGTGAGTGTGTTTGTGTGTGTTTGTCATCTCTAACAGGTCTGTTTGTTTTGAAAGTGGGCATTAATTGTATGTGAATGTGTTGCTAAACTAGTTGTTGTTGTTGTTTATGTTATTGGATGTTGTTCACCACAGCAACTTGTATACAAATTAAACTTCAGTGTGAAAGTAAAGATGATGCCTTTAGGTTCAGGGGAAGGTTAAGGTGTCTTAAAGGCCCATTCACAACAATCACGATAACTGTAAAGGTAATGATGACGATATAATTGTTAAAATGCTTGCCAGTGTTGAAGAACAGCAGAGATCCCAGCAGTAAACACACTGAGGAACGATATCAACACTGTCAGAAGGATTTGTGCCAGCGGATGAAGCATAAAACACTGACAACCAATCAGAATCCAGTCAAAATTAAAGCTCCAGACGACACTGAAGGACAACACTGTTTTTAAAATATTAGCTAAAGAGTGTGATTAATTGGTTATACAATGGGAAATAATGATAAAACATATACATTAGGGCTGCACAACATATGGTTTCAGCATCGATATCGCAACGTGTGCATCCGCAATAGTCACATCGCAGACTATTAAATGTTGTGTGTGAGTAGGCATGGACCGGTATAAGATTCTGACGGTATGATAACCTTGGATATAATTATCACGTTATTGTGCTCACTGCTCTAAAATACAATCTTTTTAACTGTCTGGGTAAAAAACTAAAGCTTTTGTCCCCTTTGAACACAATATATTTATTTTTTTAATATTTTGAAGCAGTAAACATGTCAAGCTGAATAATTCAAATAAATCATTGACTTCTGCTGTCTTCATTAGTTTCAAAATCACTGATTTCTTTACAATTTAAATGACATCTTTGGATATAGTTTCCGCTGGAGATACTGCTGTACTCCAAAACAT